GAAGGAAAGAAACAGTGAGACCTGAGATGCAATCAGCCAAGGAATCCAATCACACTTGGCTTCAACGCAGTGCACTCGACGCTGACGAGCAGCGCCAACCGTCATTGCAACCAGTGGGCCGTTGCCAATAAACAGAATACTCAAGTTTTTGAGTCACTGCTGCGGAGACCAGGAGCCGCAGTGAGAGAACATGTTCAGCAATCGCTGCAGTGACAAAGGCAAACGAATGCAAACAAGCCGGTTTGGGCTGCACCGCTTTGTTCACCAAGAGCCTCCTGGCTCTGACGAACTCTGGGCACTTGGGAACTCTGAAGACTGGGCCTGGACCGCTTCTGATGGCGCCAGAGCGCTATGCCTGTGCCATCCTCGCCTTTCCACATGAGAAACACAGCACAGCCGAACAGCAGACTCAGACGATTGTCAAAATCCCCTTGGCAAAAGCAGTCGGCAGGCAGGCCTCTGGGTGCTGGGACCTCAAGCAAGTCGATGTAGAAATTTAGATGACTGACACGGCCTTGCGAACGCTGAGGCGTTGGCAAATTGCAAGGTGGGCACCGTTGCGATCATCAGCCTGCGCGCCAAAGACGCAGCCACGACCTTGGGAAATCACTGGCTCCCGCTCCATGCAATCCAAGCACGCCAAACCACATCTCCCTATCATCTCCCTCTGACGACGGACTGTGCCACTTGAGTCCCACGCGGGCGCCGCCTTCGTGAGCCGCCGCTGCATCTTTGGCTCGTCGCACTCAAAATAGACCTGGTCGTGGGCGAGAGTGTGTGCCACTGTGTGCCCTCAAGACTGCTGGCATGCTTGCATCGCATCCAAATTCTGGGCCCGGGCCACAACGTCATGGTCTGCAGCCTCCACCTGCCACGGGCTGATCGCTTCTCGCTCCTGGCTGCGTGGAGCACCTTCGCGATGCGCACTTTCGCTTTCAGCACCTGACAGCGCCAAGCGCTTGCATGCAGATGCATGCAGATGCATGCAGAGCCAGGCACAGCGCTTGGCGCCTTTTGAAGCCGCGGTGGAGGGCACGCAAGCACATGCTCAAGCCTCAGCTCGCGTCACCGGCATGGCAGCCAGTGAGTGCAAACGCATCCAGTGCGGGCAAAGGTGCTGCAGCGCAAGCCTGGGCTTGTCACAATGACTCGGCCTGTGACTGAGGCCTCAGGCTGCCGCGACTCCGCCCGCCGGAAGTCCCGTCGGGCTGCCAGCTCTTCCTGCGGGTCCTCGACGAGCTCACGGAATATGTCCTGAGCGCATGCCGGTGCCGCACCGCCGCACTGCCGCACTGCCCATACACTGCCGCACTGCCCCCACACCCCTGCTTGCCTGCACTACGTCTTCTGGCAGCTCATCGACCACCGGTGGCGGCGACTTGGGTGGCTCGAGCATCTGCGGGGCGCAGGGCTTGTCCCAAAGCTGCACAGCCCGGGCGGGGCTTGTCCCTGCAAAGCACAGCGTGCCAGGGTGGCCTGCTTCAGTTTTGCCTTCTGGAGCTGCAGCCTTGCCAAGTCAGCGTACGGCCGCGTGCTTTTGCGGCAATCGCGAATTTCCTTCTTTCGGTTGGCAAGTTCACGGGTGCCTGCCATGCCACTCCAGGACCGGATCCTCTGCCAGCCTGGCGAAGGGAAGCATAGCTGGAAGAGACAGCTCTGGCCAAATCTTGCTGTTGCCAGCCGTTGGTGCCACTCATCCTGATATTCAAAGCATGTTCGAATGCCAGCAAAGCCATTGCTGCCATTGTGGGCTGCAGTCGCACGGCGTCCTGCTGTCGCACCAGCATGCCTTCTGCGGGGTTGTAGGGAACCAACGCCTTCTCCTGGCCATATGGGTTGGGAGGTTGCACTGCGTGCCCGCAGCCTGACCTCCCATTGTGTCAGCGTTCTCGTCTTCGGCCTTCGCGTATTGCGTCTCGATGCATCTTGATGCGTACTGCCCGCCCACGTCTAGAGGCACCGAAGCTCCGAATTCGAGCGCGCCTCTCGATGCGGCGCCGCACCTGGCGGACCTGGTGAGCTTACGTGGCGGCTTTGCCCCAGAAGCGTGAGCGCTGCACGGGCGCGACTTCGGCCGCCAGCCTCAGCTACGAGTCTCCCCACTTAGGCCGTGGAACTCGTGGCCTCTTCAGCGAGGCGCTCAGCCTCACGCGCAAACGACGAGCCTCCGGACTCAAGCTGTTTTGGGCCCAGGCTCAGAACTAAAACCGCGACCTCGCAAAAAGTACGGCCGAACCAGCACAACTCGTCAACCAAGCCCAGCACTCCATTGTCCGGTGCCTGTGCAGCGTGGGATGTTCATGTTCTTTATCCGCCATACTCGTTGTGCGGAGCCTGTGAAGCACCTTCGAATCGCGGCCATCGCTTCATGTTGTCCGTTTATCTTTCCAAGGATGGCAATTGCTTCGCGTTCGGGCATTTAAGGACATCACGTGAGAGTGCGTGGAAAGGCGCTTCAAGGTTTTGACAGAGCCGAGCTGTGCCAAGCAACTGCAACTCGATCATTCTGGGTGGGGTCATGAGCAGAGAAGGGAGCCTCAGACGCGGTCGTTCTCTGTTTCTCCGCCCTGTGCGGGGCGCGAGTTGGCTGAGATAACTCGGTGCTGCCAGCGAGGAGCAGTGGTCCCTTGCTGTCAGCTCGCTCTGCGGGCCATCGGCCCATCGGCCCATCGGCCCATTGTGCCCATCATCCTCAAGCCCGGAAGTAGACGACACGGAAGGACACGGAAGCAATATGAAGCAATAAAAGGGATTAGGCACCGAACGAGACATGACGAGAATGAGACGTGACCTTTCCAAGCGTCGGAGTCCCAGCAAGGCAGCCGCTGCTGCCGCCCCACCTGCGACTTCGGGACTTCGCACTGGACTGGAGCCACAAGCCATGCAGAAAGTTGACAACCAAATCGACTCAAACGATTCAAACGATGCGAACGATGCGAACGATGCGAACGATGCGCTCAAAGACACATCAGGAGAATTGAACTATTCGTTTCCAATTGCATGGCTCCATGGGTTCAAATGGGGAAAACTTGAACTTCAAGCCTTCGCGGTCTCGCTTTCCCCGCTTTGCCTCAAAGACATGTGCGAACAAGGTGCGCAGCATTGAACAAGGCCCGTGCACTCTTCTCAGCAACCTCCAAAGCTGATCCTCAGTGATCAAGCATTGCAGCATTGATATTGGAAGACACATCCGCTTCATCTGCTGCTGTTCAACTCTCGGATGGGTGACGGGCTGTTGAACATAGTGCCACGCTTCTTGCGGTTGGGCGCATTGGTGCTGCTACTGCTCCGGCTGCTGGAGCTGCTGCTGCTCTTCCTGGATCAAGTGACCGGGGGGTGGAAGTTGTCAAGAACAGCTTCCCTCTAATTGGGGGGTTGATGGTTTGGAGGTTTTAGAGGGTAGCTTCCCATTTGCCCTCTACAAGGACCAGGTTCAAATCCAAGCCACTAATCCAACCCACCAATTAATAGTAAAGCTGGTGGCGAGTCGCTTCTTCTTTTTCTTGCTCTTCTTTTTGCCTGCCACGCCAATCGCATTGCAGCTCCTGCCCCTTACTGCTGCACCCCTTGCTGCACCCCTTGCTGAACCGCTTGCTGCCCCGCTTCGCTGCTGCCGAGCAACTTTTGCGCTTTTCAGAGCTACTGTCACTCCTGCAGCCGGCTTGCGGCCTGCTGCAACATATCAAGCAATAACCCGACGAACAACGGCGAATGATGAAAGTCCTGTCAGCGGCCTTTCCCTTCACAAGGTCAGCAAGCCTCCTAAGATCAATCCGTCTGCATCCAGGCAGCTTCAAGGCTTGCAAAATTTCAGGCGAGCAGCTGATCCGGATCTACCTCCTTACTCTCAAGACAAAATGCGCGACAAACTTGGCACGGACTCGTAGTGAACTTGAGCATTGGACCGAGGCCAGCTTCATGTTTTCTGCCTTCAGCCAAGCGAGCATGACAGTAGCAAATGTTGACTACTTCAACTATGGGTTCAACTAAAGGAGCCGAACGAGACTATGGACTAAAATGGACAAATAGAGGCTAAAACCATTCTGTATGGAACATGGCGGACATTCAAAGGGTACAAAGGCTCTCAAGCAGTAAATGAAACACATTTTGCACAATGGGGCGACAATCACGCTTCACATGATAGCAAAAAACGCGAGCAAGCCAATCTCAGTGAATTGATTTTTGGGTGACGGCTTTGGGGGGGTGAGGGATCAAAAAAAAACTTTTTAGGCATCAAAAAAACTTATTTCTAAAGATCAAAAAAACTTAGTAGGCATCAAAAAAAACTTATGCTCATTGACTTACTATTAAAAATGAAAAATCAGAGGATCAAAAAAGAACTTTATAGGCATCAAAAAAAACTTATTCATTTCAGGAAGCACTTTCGCAAGGTCAGGTACAGATTTCGTGGCACGCGCGGCACTTTCGCAAGGTAGGCGCAATGCTTTCGCAGGTCAGGTACAGATTTCGCGGCAGGCGCAGCGCTTTCGCAAGGCGCGGTGCAGATTTCGCGGCAGGCGCAGCACTTTCGCAAGGTCAGGTACAGATTTCGTGGCAGGCGCAATACTTTCGGAAGGTCAGCCAGACTTCGCAGCAGGCGCAGCACTTTTGCAAGGTCAGGGACAGATTCACGACAGATGCAGGACTTTCACATTTCGCGGCAGGCGCAGCACTTTCGCAAGAGGTGCCATTTTCGCAGCAGGCGCAGCACTTTCGCAAGGTACGGTGCAGAGTTTGACGCAGGCGCAGCATTAAATCAGCGGGGGGGTTGGGGGTGGCGGCAGCCCCGCAGGGGCAGCACTTTTGCAAGAGGTACCAATTTCGCGGCAGGCGCAGCACTTTCGCAATACGGTGCAGAGTTTGACGCAGGCGCAGCATTAAATCAGCGGGGGGGTTGGGGGGGGCGGCAGCCCCCCCCATGATGTTCGAAGAAGTGATGATTCAACAAAGGGTGGTGATGATCGAAGAGGTGATGATTCAGCGAAGGGTGCGGTAATCTCTGCAAACATTCTGAAAATCAGCGGGGGGGTTGGGGGGGGCGGCAGCCCCCCCCATGATGCTCGAAGAAGTGATGATTCAGCAGAGGGTGCGTTAATCACTGTCAACCTTCTACAAATCAGCGGGGTGGGTGAGGAAGGTCAGGTACAGATTTCGCAGCAGGCGCAGCACTTTGGCAAGGTCAGGTACAGATTCGGCGGTCCGCAGGCGCAGCACTTTCGCAAGAGGTACCAATTTCGTGGCAGGCGCAGCACTTTCGCAATACGGTGCAGAGTTTGACGCAGGCGCAGCATTAAATCAGCGGGGGGGTTGGGGGGGGCGGCAGCCCCCCCCATGATGTTCGAGGAAGTGAAGATTCAACAAGGGGTGCGCAAAGCTCTGTAAGCATTCTACAAATCAGCAGGGGGGTTGGGGGGGGCGGCAGCCCCCCCCATGATGCTCGAAGAAGTGATGATTCAAAAAGGGTGGTGATGATCGAAGAAGTGATGATTCGCACCCTTTGCTGTAATCTCTGCAAACATTCTGAAAATCAGCGGGGGGGTTGGGGGGGGCGGCAGCCCCCCCCATGATGCTCTCGAAGAAGTGATGATTCAGCAAAGGGTGCGTTAATCACTGTCAACCTTCTACAAATCAGCGGGGTGGGTGAGGAAGGTCAGGTACAGATTCAGATTTCGCAGCAGGCGCACGTCAACCAAGGTCAGGTACAGATTCGGGGTGGGCAGCCGCATGCGCCAGATTTCGGGCAGGCGCAGCACTTTCGCACAGGTGCGGTTTCGCGGCAGCCCCCCCCATGATGTTCGAGGAAGTGAAGATTCAACAAGGGGTGCGCTAAGCTCTGTAAGCATTCTACAAATCAGCAGGGGGGTTGGTGGAAGAAGTGATGATTCAACAAAGGGTGGTGATGATCGAAGAAGTGATGATTCAGCAAAGGGTGCGGTAATCTCTGCAAACATTCTGAAAATCAGCGGGGGGTTGGGGGGGGCGGCAGCCCCCCCCATGATGCTCGAAGAAGTGATGATTCAGCAAAGGGTGCGTTAATCACTGTCAACCTTCTACAAATCAGCGGGGTGGTTGGGGGGGGTCCTTCCTTCCTTCCTTCCTTCCTTCCTTCCTTCCTTCCTTCCTTCCTTCCTTCCTTCCTTCCTTCCTTCCTTCCTTCCTTCCTTCCTTCCTTCCTTCCTTCCTTCCTTCCTTCCTTCCTTCCTTCCTTCCTTCCTTCCTTCCTTCCTTCCTTCCCCCCATAGGAATGAGCATAAGTTTTTTTTGATAAGTTTTTTGTTGATGCCTAATAAGTTTTTTGTTGATGCCTAATAAGTTTTTTTTTGATGCCTATCCCGCTTTGGGGCGCGTAGCCAAGCCCCGACATGGCTTGTGATAGAATACAGGATGTCCCGTTGCTGCTCCTGAAAGTATGTTGAAGGCTGAATGCGAGAGAGAGAGAGAGAGATAGAGAGAGAGAGAGAAAGATGTCAAACTACATGCTTCACTACTTGCATGTATGTACACTACCGAAGGCCTTGAGCTGCTCAGTCTCATGACTACAGAGCCCACTTGGAAAACGTGCATTGCAGACACTACAGGTTTGATTGTTACTGACAACATTACAGCACTTGCACTTGTAGTACTTGTTACTCCGATTTTAACGACAGAGAGAGAGAGAGAGAGAGATATTATTGGCCTCTTGCTTGCTACAACCCTGGGCCACTGGGCTGGGTTCACATGCGCCTTGCAATAGACCTTCTCGCCGTCCAAATCTTCAGCAAGCATCTTGCACTCGAAGGTAGCAGAAGCATCGTCAAACGAGGTAATCTCCTTGGGCACATGCGCATGGCTCAGCGTGGCTCAAGAAAATACCGGAACTGAGAGGACTGCGAGGATTGGGACTGAATGCTTCCCAAGGAACTGCTTCGGCGCCCTCCTTCCCATCCAGGCCGTGGATCCTGTGAGGCCATGCCAAACTCACCGCTGGCCTCTCACTTTTCATCCAAGTCACACCACGCAGGCGCCGATCTCAAACATCCCTCCTCAACAGCACAGCAGCACAGTGGCACATGGGAAAATTCAAACCAGGATGACTCCTGGCCCCTGATCCGGCATCTTGTAAGCCTCGTTGAGCCTCTTTGAGCCTCTTGAGCCTTCATCTGCATGGCTGGGGCAGAGGCAGGCCGGGTAGGCCACTGCCAGGCATGTGCCAGGCAGGTACCAACAGCACTTTTGGCTGAGCGCGCTGCATCCTGTACAACTGAAGGCGGGCAGCTAAAAGAGCCCGCAATCTGTGCGAAGCATCCCATCTACATCTCGCAGCTGACTGCAACTAAGTCACGCATGTTTATCGAATCGTGGAAGAAACCTTCCACAGCCCAGCGGCAGCTCTCCGCACAAGCTGTCCAGCATCCTTGACAAATCCAGCCAGGGTGCCAGCGATGTCTCCCCAAAACAAGGGCTCAGCAGTGGCACCGCTTTGATCCAAAGAACTCCACGGCAGCAAAGACTGGAAAAACAGGATCGCTGGGGGAGTAAAAATTGACATGTTCGGTATGTCTGCGGATTGCGCGTGCGCTTGCATCCCGTGAATGCCATGAATGCCATGAATGCCAGCATTCGGTGGGTGCAGCCTGGCACTGAGGGTGCTCTCCAGGACGCGCGGCACTGAAGAAGGCTCCAGGAGGTCTTGATAATCCTCCAAGGTGGGATCCCAGAAGGCGCTCTTGGCCCAGCGTGCCCGCGCATCTGCAATGTCTCTGGCAAAAACCTCGCTCTCATGGAGCTTGACCCACCTTGCAGCACAAGCATGGAGCCAGTTCACGTGCGGCTTCCAGAGCGGCCCGCAGAGCTTGGCGTAGGCTGCACCAAGGCGCCCATGGGCTGCAGCGTGCTTCTGGTGGCGGTAGTCCAGGGCGTTCACAAAGGGCTGCCGCGCAAGGAGAGCGGCCCAGCTGGGCCCAAACGACCCCACGGCCTCTTCCAGCAGAGGGCGCACACAGCCTGGGAAATACAGCAGAGCGCGCATGAGCCGTGCTGGAGGCGAATCCGACTCGCCCAAGATCTCTTGAAGAGTGAGGTGGGTCACGTCCGGAGCCCCAAGCTCTGCCAGCCCGACAAGTGCCACTGAGAATGCGAAGTTGGGGAAGGCCAGATCCAAAGCACAGGGAATCATACCACAGTCTCCAGCCAATGAGCTGCTCAGCAGAAGGAGTGTCTGGAACTGCCGACTTCTAAGGCACAGGTGGTCTGCCCAAAGCAGCACATGGAGCGGATCCCGGGGCAACATGGCAGCCAGCAGAAGCTTGCAGACCTCGAGGGCAGTCCTGTGCATGCCTTGCCCAGCGAGGCAGTGCATGTGCAGCCACAACGCTCTGAGCCAGCTCCAGCCTGCCCAGGTACTGACGGTCTGCGAAGGCGTCCAGGAAGGCATGCGCAGGCGCACTCGGGGCCTGGCCTGGGACCCCATGCCTTGGAATGGGCAGAACTCCAGGGCGAAGGCGCACTCCACGGTGTAGACCGCGCGCCTCACGAGCTCCGCTGCCTGTTCGTGGGCTCCCTGCTGGCGCTGGTGCTCCGCCAGCACGAGGAGCCCATCCAAGGAGAAGGGGCAGCGCTGCAAATAGCGCCGCAGCAGCTCGGGGTCCTCGGCTGCCAGCACGGACTTCAGCCGCCCCAGGCTGCGCAGCGATGCCTCCGTCTCCTCGAAGTCGAAGACGGCCCCGTCTGCGTCCAGCTGCGAGACCATCCGCACAGAGTCCTCCGGCTTGGGCCACGGCTCTCCGGGCAACACCAGGAAAAGCCGCCGGTGGTGCAGCGTCCTGCCCTCAGGGCCGCGGCGCCGGTTGCGGCGGCTGTCCTTTGCATCCTTCGCATCCTTCGCATCCTTCATGTTGCCAAAGAGCCGACGCCGCTCCGTTTCACAATCAAAGTCTGCCCGGCGCATGGCGAGGCCCGTGCACTCAGCGTCAGGTTCCGCGACATCGCTCTCGCGCCTCGCGTCTGCGTCAGCATCTAAGAGGGCGAGCTCGTCTTCCACAATCTCGGCAGCTTTAGCAGGATGCTTCCGACGCGCCTTCTTGCTCGTTGCTTTCCCCGCCTTTGCCTGCAGTGCCACATGCCGAGCACAGCACACAACACATACCTTGCACACAACGCACACCGGCGCAATGCGTAACAACATCGCACATCGCAAGCTTCAACAACTCGCAGCCGGACGTCCTGAGGCATCTCTCTTGGTGAGCTTGGTGAGCTCGAGCTGTCTGCAAATGCATCGAAGCCTGAAGCTCTCGCCTGCCAACTGGCAAATAGCTCTGGCTTCATGGCAGACCCCGACATGTGCTCCACGCCTGCCCGCTGCCGGACTCAGAGAGCGGGGCATCGTCTTTGGCCGCGTCAGCCGGGGATTGGCCCTCCTTGGCGGCCCGAAGTTCTCGTAGCTTGCGCAGCTGCTTGTTCGACATCAGACTGGCACCCGCTTGCGGATCACTTGCTGGGAGTATCCAATCTACATCTACCTACAGTGGTCTTTGGCAGTTAGAGGGGCTTGAAGCACTCTATTGCCGGCTGAAAGGAGACTCTGCTGGAAGGAAATCACGCTCAGAGCATCTTGCACCAATTACACGCCAGAAATCCATTTATCTGTGCAAATTTGGCTCCCTCTTTTTCACCCGTCTTCCACTCGCAAATAGTCCGTGTCGATGTCCACCACTGCCAAGCCTGGCTGGGAGCACGTCGCATCTAGCACTTGACCACAGTCACTGAGCCTACAAATCTGGGCTGCACTGTGCACACCACGGTGATCTCTGGAGCAGCGACCTGAGCGTCTTATGGTTGGGGGCAGTCATCGTCAGCGTCCAAGGAAAAGCATCTCGTCATTCTGAGTTGTAACAGGCAAGCCGGTGCCACATAATACTGTAGCACAGCATCTGGTGTCTTGTGTAGCAGGACGCACAACAGCTGATGCATCACTGCTGGCACATCCACAGCATCTGGCGGAACACTTGGCAGCAGACTTTTTTGGCATTTGCAAACGGGTTTTTACAAGACACTGTTGTCAGCAAGTGTTCATTTCGTTGTGAGATATGAAGCATTGCATGAGGCAGTTCCCCATGCGACCGGAAAGGGTTCAAATGCTGGCAGCTTGGAACGGAAGAGTAGGCCAGCCCCAGCAAAACCTCGTGTAGAATCTGCTGACTTTCCAGAGCCTTTGTTTGTCAGCGCCGTCTAGTCGACCTGAGCCCGACCCGAGGTCTGCACAGAATGGTAGTCCACCCCCAAATTCTCCTTGCAGGCCTCCAGCGCATCCTGACGATGCTTGCTCAAGGGGCAAGGATCTCACCAAAAGTCGAACATCACCGAAAGAAATGCCAAGACTTTAAATGTGTTTTGTCCTCCTCGCGCAAGAAAGCAGAGCTGGCTGCCTTTTTGCCGTGCCGCACGACGCTCCTGCCTGCACGCCGCTCCTTTTAAGTGGCTTCGTTGCTGTGCGGAGCCACGACGCTCATGCAGATCGTTCAGGGCTGCATCGTGGCCGCGCCGTGGGGAAACGGCTCCGATAGGACCGCGACAAGCACGCGGTTGTTTTGTGGCAGAGCCACGGGGCAACGAGCGTCCAGGCCTGACAGACATCTAAGGGTTGCACCGTGCAAAGGGGATGAACTGTTGCGGGAGAAAAATATGACGTGGGACTGACGTGGCTTTGTTGCGGCCGTGCCATGCGGAAAAGGCTCCAGGCGAGACTGCTACGGAAGACAGGCTGCTGGCGCTGACGGAAATCTGGGCTGCGCGGTGATGGTTCCAAAGAAACAAACGGAGCTTCCAAAGCAAGCACCGAGCAAGTCTACATTGCAGGCAGTCACTACGGAACAAATCAAGGGACTCTAAGCAGATTCAGCAGGCAATCAGCGGGAATACGTTGCAGCTGGTCACTGGGTAGAAATTCCATGGGCCAAAGTAGCTTTCAAAGCAATCACAAAGCCTGTCTGCACTTCACGGGGTGGCTTCCAGACCTTGTTGGTTGCTTTTGCTTTTCCTCTTTTTGGGGGGTCACGGATTTAGGTCTGGGATTTAGGTTTAGGCTTTAGCTTTAAAATTTAGGTTTAGGATTTTTTGGTTTAGGGTTTTTAGGTTTAGGGTTTTGAGGTTTAGGATTTTTAGGTTTAGGAACTAGGTTTAGGGTTTGGGATTATGGTTTTTAGGTTTAGGATTTATGTTTAGGATTTTGGCTTTGGGTTTTTGGGTGTAGAAGTTTTAGGTTTGGGGTTTAGGTTTCGGATTTAGGTTTAGGGTTTTGAGGTCTAGGATTTAGGTTGAAGACTTAGGTCTAGGAATTTGGTTTAGGGTTTAGGCTTAGGGTTTTTAGGTTTAAGGTTTTTAGGTTTAGGATTTACGTTTAGGAATTTTGGTTTACGGTTTATAGGTTTGGGGTTTTTTAGGTTTAGGATTGTTAGGTTTAGGAATTCGGCTTAGGGTTTGGGTTTAGGGTTTTGAGGTTTTAGGGTTTTTAGGTTTAGGATTTAGGTTTAGGGTTTAGGTTTAGGATTTAGGTTTAGGGTTTTTAGGTTTAGGATTTAGGTTTAGGGTTTTGAGGTCTAGGATTTAGGTTTAAGACTTAGGTTTAGGAATTAGGTCTAGTGTCTAGTTCTCGTCTAGTGCTCGTCCAGCGCTCGTCTAGTGCCCGTCTAGTGCTCGTCTAGTGCTCTGTCTAGCGTCTAGTTCTCGTCTAGCGCTCGTCCAGTGCTCGTCTAGTGCTCGCGCGGTGCTTGTCTAGCGCTCGCCCAGTGCTCGTCTAGCGCTCGTGCAGCGCTCGTCCAGTGCTCGTCTAGCGCTCGTCTAGCGCTCGTCTAGTGCTCATCTAGTGCTCGTCTCGTGCTCGTCTAGCGCCCGCTCGTCTAGCGCTCGTCCAACGCTTGTCTAGTTTAGTGCTCCGTCTAGTGCTCGGCTCGTCCAGTGCTCGTCCAGCGCTCGTCCAGGGCTTGTCTAGTGCTCGTCTAGTGCTCGTCTAGTGCTCGTCTAGCGCTCATCTAGCGCTCGTCTGGCGCTTGTCTCGCGCTCGTCTAGTGCTCGTCTAGCGCTCGCCCAGCGCTCGTCTAGTGCTCCGTCTAGCGCTCGTCGAGCGCTCGTCCAGTGCTCGTCTAGTGATCGTCTAGTGCTCGTCTAGTTCTCGTCTAGTGTTCCGTCGTCTGTCGTCTGGCGCTCGTCCAGTGCCCGTCTAGTGCTCGTCTAGTGCTCAGCGCTCGTCTAGTGGTCGTCTAGCGCTCGTCCAGTGCTCGTCTGGTGCTCTGTCTAGTGCCCTTCTATGCCCGGAATTTTTCCAGAAATTTCCGGGGGTGGGTCGTGCTCTCCCCATTCCGGCGCTCGTCCAGTTGCTCGTCTAGCGCTCGTCCAGTGCTTGTCTAGTGCTCTGTCTAGCGCTCGTCTGGTGCTCGTCTCGTGCTCGTCCAGCGCTCGTCTAGTGCTCCGCCAAGTGCTTGTCTAGTGCTCGTCTAGCGCCCGTCTAGTGCCCGTCTAGCGCTCGTCTTGCGCACTGTCTAGTGTCTAGTTCTCGTCTAGCGCTCGCGCAGCGCTCGTCTACTGCTCGTCTAGTGGCTAATGCTCGTCTACTGCTCGTCCAGCGCTCGTCTGGTGCTCTTGTATGCCCGGAAATTTTCCAGAAATTTCCGCGGGTGTCTCGTGCTCTCCCCATTCCGGCGCTCGTCCCGTGCTCGTCTTGTGCTTGTCTAGTGCTCGTCCAGCGCTCGTCCAGTGCCCGTCTAGTGCTCCGTCTAGCGCTTGTCTAGCGCTCGTCTAGTGCTTGTCTAGTGCTCGTCCAGTTCTCATCTAGTGCTCGTCTACAGCTCGTCTAGCGCTCGTCTACTGCCCGTATAGCGCTCGTCTAGCGCTCGTCTAGCGCCCGTCTAGCGATCGTCCAGCGCCCGTCTAGTTCTCCATCTAGCGCTCGTCTAGTGCTCCGTCCAGCGCCCGTCTAGTGCTCTCTTATCCCCGGAAATGTTCCAGAAATTTCCGGGGGTGGCTTGCGCCCTCGATAAAGCTCTTCTGCGCTCGTCTAGTGCTCGGCTCGCCCAGTGCTCGTCTAGCTAGTGCTCCGTCCAGCGCTCGTCGAGCTCCGTCTAGTGCTCGTCTAGCGCTCGTCTAGTGCTCCGATCTCCCTATTCTGGCGCTCGTCCAGCGCTCGTCTAGTGGTGCTCGTCTAGTGCTCCGTCTAGCGCTCGTCTAGTGCTCCGATCTCCCTATTCTGGCGCTCGTCCAGCGCTCGTCTAGTGGTGCTCGTCTAGTGCTCCGTCTAGCGCTCGCGTAGTGCTCGTCTAGTGCTCGTGTAGCGCTCGTCTAGCGCTCGTCTAGGCTCGTCCAGCGCTTGTCTCGTGCTCCGTCTTGCGCTTGTGTAGTGCTCGTCTAGTGCTCGTCTAGTGCCCGTCTAGTGCTCGTCTTCGCCTAGTGCTCGTCCAGTGCTCGTCTAGTGCTCGTGCGGCGCTTGTCTAGCGCTCGTCCAGTGCTCGTCTAGCGCTCGTGCGGCGCTTGGCCCATCCTCTCCCCATTCCGGCGCTCGTCCCGTGCTCGTCTAGCGCTTGTCTAGCGCTCGTCCTCCGGTGTTCTCGAACATGTGGAAGCAGGCAGGGCGCGTGCCCGTGTGTCTTGGTCCAAGGGTGCTTGCAACCCTGTCCCGTGCAGGATCATGATGGAGAGATACCTGGAGGCCGTGCAATTCGTTAGGTTGCCTGGTCTGCTGGGCCAGGTATGCGTGCCTGCTGCCCCAAAAACTGTTGCACATGATCATTTTTGAAAATGATTGTTTTGCCTTGCGGAGCAGACCGAACCTTGTGTTGCTGACGTCGCTTGCTGGCACTCCATCAATTGCGCTATTGTTGCGTAATCCAGTGCATGCTTACGTTCTTTTGGCGTCATGTCATGGGCCGTGCCTAGGATGCAGTGTTGGAAATACCGTAGCTGGTTTCACTACCAGCTCGCTGGGAAGCGGCTTTGGCACTGAAAGCAGAAAAAGCAACCAAAACGGCGCCAAAACAGAAAAAGCAACCGCCTACCTACTTATGCCTCACGGGGGTGCAATTCGGAGCCCTGGCAATCTCGCCGCCTGGAAAGCCCATAAGCCTGTTTCCTGGCATCGAGCCCGAGGGTGCCATGCGTGGAAACACGTGCCTCCTTGGAGATGGTGTTCCAACCACCGCGGAAGGGCTCGTAGAGCAAACGCCATGGACGCCCAGCATGGGAAAGCAGCGCGTCTGGCTTGCAAATTCTCATCAAACCTCGCATCTGAGGCGCCCCGACCTTTGGCAAGACCTTGGGTTCCAAGAGTGGCCAGGACCGAGAAACAAACGAGGTGGGGCCGCCACGCTTGAAGCTGTCCGCTTTCGGGTGTACTGACCAATCCACTGGAAGCACCTGGGTAACTGACCCTGGGCTTCCGGCCTTCTTGCAGTTGGCCTATTTGTGTGTCACCCTAGAACTGACACACAATAGATTCCGAGTCCTTGTTGAGCCAGAAACAGGGCGAGGACAATTGACCCGAAAGCTGTTGCCCAATGCTTTGGGACAATCGTTCAACACTGCAGCCCCCAGATTTGCGGATATTGTGTCAGTGCTCTGTGAAATTTGCTCTGCGCAAGTTGCTCTGCACAAGCGCTCTCATTTTGTAAACACAAAGTTTGCTAAAAACACCTTATTGAAAAAAAAAACGCAATCCGCCAAGCCCGACCTGTCTTAAAACAAAAGTTTGTGCAAGTGTCCGCTCACGAAGGTCTGTGTGCCAAGTTTTCCTTGCAAAAGTTTTGCCGTACACGTGTGTATGCGCGCCCTTCGGTGATAGCGCTTCAAGCTGCGAATTTTCGAGTCGTTGCCGCCGAGCTCTGCATGGAAGTTCCTCAGCGCTCTGCGCACGTGCGCTGTTGGACCTTTCACCGCTTGCCAGGCAGCGTCACTCTGCTTGGGGCCCAAGTCTCTGCAGCGAGGCTCGCTGCTTTTGTTTTTGTCCTATATTTGGTGCAGCGACGGCCACTCTGGCAAGGCCAGCAAGGATGGCCTCAGCCGCCTGCCACCCCCAGCTTTGCATTCGCCGAACCCCGCAGAAGTTGCATTCCCGTGCAATGGTGAAACTCGAGCCCCCAGCCTAGCCACCCAACCTTTCTACCCAGATCCAGTTGCACAGAGGAACTTGCGCAGAGCAACTTGCACAGAGCTACTTGCGGCTATTTGCGCAGAGCAACTTGCACAGGCTCGGCACCAAGCGCACACACACTGCCGCACGAGTCTCTTTGAAGCAGGTTGCTCTGTTCAAGTTGCTCCGTGAGAGCTGAAAGCTAGTCCATCCAAGAGCTTCACACGGAAGTACCCTTCGCGATGCCTTCAAGGGAAAAAGACTAAGGGTGCGGATCTATTTCGGGATTGTTTGTTCGTTGCGTTCTTTCTTTCGTTTGTTGTCCGGGCCAGTAAAATGTTGTATTTTACAGCATTTTCTCGCGAAATTGTTTTTACACTAGCCCGTCAACATCCCCAGCTCCCCGAACAAATTGGAATCTTCCCAGAACCTCCCGCAGGGGCGAAACAGTCTGGTGAAACCTGAGCCTAGAACTCTTGGCTTCATCCATTCAGCTTGCTCACAAGACGGCACAGGAAAATTGTTTGTGATGGAGCGTGCCCGCTTGGCGCCACGCACACGAGGCAGTGCGCTGATCTGAGTTGCAAGCCCGATCAGCCCATCTTGAGGCAAAGCGCTTAGGGGCAGCAGGTGCTAGGAAACGAGACACCAGCCTCATTCCCAGCAGTCATTGACCCGCGCGGGCGGGCTTGACTAGAATGCAAATGAATGCAGTTGCTTCATGCAGTTCACGCCTCGAGGGCACGTCGCCTTCATGCTGCACTCGAAGGAAAGCGACCTGTAGTTTGGGACCATCTGCTGTCGGGCTCACATGACTCAAGCGATCGAGCGCCTGCTTGCACACCATGCCGACAGTGACAAACCGCCTCAGCAGCAACCGTGGAAACTCAGTACGCGGTGCCGGCAGTGGGTTGCAGGCCGATCTGCAGGATCACAACGAAGGTCAGCCAACTCGGCATCCAAACCTTGCCGACTTGGCGGTGAAGCCAGAAGGGCAAACCGCAGCTTGAACAGAAAAAGGCCGCATACGGACGCAAGGCCCAGAAGGCAAAAGGGCAGCGCTTGCTGGCACGGACCCTGCGTGCTTCACCTCTTCGGCCTGCGATCGAGCCCCGAGCAGCTCGAGCGGCGAATCTCGGCGAATTCGCGCCTCCACCTCCAGCCACAAACGCAAGTCCTTCAGCCCTGAGCGGCAAACCCAAACACCTGACCAGCCTTGGGCCTAGGCCCGCCTCGCAAGGCCTCCTGACAAGTACTCCCTGTCACCAAAAAGCCGCGCTCTCCCTCCGCAACTTCCACCTGCATCTCACACAAAGCTCTCTCCACACGTTCCACGCCTGTGCCAACTTTTGCCAAAGCCTTTGTCTTCGCAGTCTTGGCCTTCTTCTGTGGCCCATCCTGGTCTACATGGTCTACACCTCTGTCACCCTACATCCCACCCTGAAAGCGACCGCCTGGGCGCCCCACAGGCTTTGAGCCCTGCCATCTTTTTGCCATTCTGCGATTCGGCACGGGTATGTCCAACCCGATGCATGACGGTGACTCAAATGTGTGCCAAGGTTTCCCCATCACTCACGAGTATCGGTGCCACCCTGCATCTGCTTTTAAGAGCTCGATGCGTGTGCTTGTTATATTGGTGGTTGAGCCAAATTGGCAGGCAAGTCCCTTGTGAACCCTTGTCGGTGCATGGCATGGCGTATCATCGCAAAGGCACTGCATGATGCGTTTCAGCGTCCGACTATCAGATGTCAGGTCGGGTTGGCAAAGCTGCTGTAACCCTGGCGTTCTTTGCTGCCAGTGCTGCCAAAATAGTTCAGAATCAGCTGAGGAGCATCATTGCTTGCAGGTGCGCGGCGCAAGAGTCCTCAGCTAGCCCCTTCAGGCAAGCAATGTGCTGCACAGCAGCTGACTCCAGCCATTTGCTTTGGAACAATTTGGCAGTCAAGTTCAGTAGCTGCTAATGTCAGGCACGTGACATAAATAGGCCCTGCTTGCATTCCGTTGAAAGCTATGAAGGACTGGCCGCTCATCACATGCCGGACTGCCTATGGAAGGCATTTGCTGGCACGCCTCCTGCCCAATGGGCCGGAGAGTCTAGGAATCTAAGCATGCAGACACTTTGGCCACCTCACTTTGTGAGAGCAGCAAGTCATGTCGCATAGTTCCACGCTATGTCAGGTGGCCCTCCAAGTGCAGATTCAAACCTCTCATGCAGCAACAATAGCATGGTCCCGATCCGTGGGCATCCTGCCTGGCTGTCAGCTGCAAAACGTACCTGGGGAGTGGCGGGATAAGAGGTGGCCACACATCAAGTGACTTGGCGCACGAAGCATTGCTAACGTCGCCGGAATCCCAGCTGACCACAGGGTCCACTCCTGGGGTGAAATCTCCAGAAACTCTAAAGAAGGA